CCCGTTGCAGCCCTTCGTGGCCCCCTCGCTGCCCTTCGTGGCCCCGTTGCAGCCCCTCAGGGCCTCCTCGCTGCCCTTCGCGGCCCCGTTGCAGTCCTTCGTGGCCCCCTCGCTTTGTTTCGTGGCCCCATTGCAGCCCTTCGTGGCCCCCTCGCTGCCCTTCGTGGCCCCGTCGCAGCCTTTCATGGCTCCGTTGCAGCCCTTCGTGGCCCCCTCGCTTTGTTTCGTGGCCCCGTTGCATCCCTTCGTGGCCCCCTCGCTGCCTTTCGTGGCCCCATATATGTATGCCCTTCGACGCCCCCGCTCGTTCGCGCCCGTGGTGGCCCCATCTGCATCTGTCCTACGTGGCACAGTTGCTACCCTCAGTGGCCCCATCGTTGTCTTCTGTGGCCCCGCATTATCTGCCCTTCGTGGCCCCCGCTTCTTCGCGCTCTTCGTGGCCCCATACGCATTCCATTCGTGTCCCCGCTGTTGCCCTTCGTGGCCTACTTCGTCTCCTTGTGGCCCTGCTGTCGTTATCTTTCGCTCTCGCTTTCGCTCGTCGTCGTCGTCGCCGTCGTCGTCGTCGTCGTCGTCGCCGTCGTCGTCGACGTCGTCGTCGTCGTGGTCGGTCCCCTGTCCGTCCCTCTTGGGGTCGGGTCGACGGTCCGCGGCCGCCCCGCCGATCAGCGCTGCCGCTGGCCAGGCCGACGGTCCGCGGCCGCCCCGCCGCTTGCCGGGGCACGGCCTGCAAGGAAGAAAGGTACTACCCCCAAAAATGGTTCGATCGAAAACGAAGAGGGCGGGTATCGAGGGTTTGGGAAATAGGCGTTATTGGACATTCGAGCAGATGAGGGCGAACAGTCTTAAAATGATTGTTGTTGTTATTGTTGTTGTTATTGTTGTTGGTATTGTTGTTGTTGTTGTTGTTGCTGTTGTTGTTGTTGTTGTTGTTGGTGTTGGTGTTGTTTGTTGTCGTCGTCCCACCCGCGACCCACCCGCGACCCACCCCGCGACCCACCCCGCGATCCAACCCGCGACCCACCCCGCGACCCACCCCGCGACCCACCCGCAACCCACCAGCGACCCACCCCGCGACCCACCGGCGACCCACCCGCGACCCACCCCGCGACCCAACCTCAAGGGAGGAAAAACCACCCAGACCCGACAATTGACAATTGACATTTACTAAACGGCCCTGGGCGTTCAATTACTAAACGGCCCTGGCCTGTTCGATTCATTCCTTGTGTGCGTTTACTACACGGTTTCGCTTGTCGGGGTGATTATTATGGGGTGGATTTTCTGACCTCTACACCCGCGACCCAACAGCGACCCACCCGCGACCCACCCGCGATCTACCCACTTGGGCCTGTCGAAAAATCAGCGCCTGCGGCGGGCTCGTTGCATAATTTGTGTAAATGTTGCGCCTGTCGAGGGTTTCTCCAGAGTCTCGCCAACTGCCGACGTCGTCCCCGCCGCCCCCTCACTCTTATCCGCATCTGCGGGGTGCTACGATATTTTGAAGTTTTCGCCCGAAATCCGCTTGTAGGGGGACATGCCCGACCTAAATCCAGCTGGAGAGAACGGACACAGTCAACGCGCCTAGTGAGGGCGCGGGCCTTCATCTTGGGTACCCTTGTGTTCTAGACTCATGCGGCCCGTCCTTTGCCGCTTTCACTGGTCGCCCGCCGCCCAAACAATCCCAACTTCGGCCTCCAAGGGTCTTGCGTCCTCACCACCCGTCCTTCATACACGTTTTGACTGTGCTGGAACGTGTCTCGGTCCACAGCTGCAGTTGTCTCAAGTGCGCCAGCGTCCTGGTTTGACCGAACAGCCAAAGGGTTCTCTTGGCACCCCGCCCCTATCAGCCGAACCAGTAGGTGACAGACAAAAGTCGGTAACCAAAGATGCGCCCGAAATTGTGACCGAAGACGTCGTGTGACCGAGCACGTGGCCGAAGTTGAAAATCGTCTTGGACTCGAGCCAAACATTTCGGTCACACCCAGGCGCGGTCGGAAATTGTCGGGCGCAAGCTTCGGCCACACCAGGGCAGATCTCCGGGCACAGCTTCGGTCACGACGCCTCCCTGATAGAGACAAAGCTGCAGAAGGTTCGCGCCGTGTCGACCAACGGCGACCCAGAATCGGTCGATGTTGAGCGATCTGACGTTGCAGAAGAGGCCAACCGTTCAAGGCTGCACGAACCCCAGGTGTCAGGAACCGACGCCTGGGTCGTCACGACGCGAGCCTCCCGTGCTTGAGTGTTCCCGTTTCTTTGGGGCCCCGAAGCAAAACATGGCATGCCCACTTGCCGGAGTTCCGCGCGGCGTTCTTGAACTGGCGCCGCGCCCCGGCGAGCGGCGTGCGCTAGGGAGGGGGGGCGTCCGGCCCCGGCCCAAGGGATCCGCACGGACAGGCGCCGAGTCAGGGATCGACGACAGATCCACGCATCCTCAACCCATGTTAGCGCGTGCCCGAGTGCAAGGTTTTCGGGCTCTCTCGCCGGTGCTCGGCGGTCTCCCACGTCTCGGGGTGCTCTGCAGCAGCTTCGCCTCGCCGAGAGCATTCCAGGGATGCCCAGACCGTCCCAAACGGCCGCGGGAGAGAGCCGAGCAGTGATCCGAAACCCAAGGAGCGCCGACAAGGGGTCGACTAGGGCATCGACTGCAGAGTTGATTTGCCCCGAACGTGGTTTTCTCGCCGAAGCCATGCCACAAAAACGTTCGCGTCATGCCCGTAGAAGGAGCCTTCTACGTTCTCTGCTCGAGGTTTCTTCACGAGGCCATCGAGCTCGGGGTAAAACAACTCTGCAGTCGCTCCGAATGCTTGAGTTTACGGTCAGGAGCGTCTGCTTCGCGTGTCGTGCCGACAGCTCTGGCCCATCCACGCGTCCGCGCGGCACGCCAAGCATGTCCTGGCCCCCAGGCGTTGACATCCCGAGCCTTCCCCGGCCCCCCTCGCCCCGCGGAGCGGAGCGGCACAGCGTCCCGTTGGGGCCGCCGCCGGGACTGGGCAAGCAAAAGTCCCCGACCGTATGAAAATTCGGCGGCAAGCGAGGGGGGGGGGAGTGAGAAGGAGAAGTCCTTCTCGGAAGGTTCGGAAGTCCCCCCGACCTTCTGAGAGATTCTCTCAGCCTTCCCCCGAGACAGAAGAAAACTTATCAGAAGTCGCGAGGGCTTCTGAGAGGTTCCGCCGCCTTCTGAGAATGCCTTCCCCTTCTCATTTCCCCCCCTCGCTCGCCGCCGAAAAGCGCCACTAGTTCTTCCTCCTCTTCCTCCTCGAGCAGACTGCGGCAGCCCGAGGCCTGGGCGTGTCGCACGGATTTCTTGGATCCGCGCTGGGCCCCCCTGGCGGCGCCTCCGGCGCCAGGGAGTGGGGTCTGTCGCGGATCCAAGAAACCCGCGCGGAGCGCCAAGAGTCTATGTTTATGGCGTTTCTTCTGCTTCTACTGAGCCAGCCCAAGAGCGGTCGCCGCTGGTTTGGGGCAGCACTCTGCTCTTGGGCATCGCCGCCAAGTTTGTTCCGTCCACACGTCAGGCGTGTCGAGAGGAGGAGAAGGAGGAGGAAGAGGAGGAGGATGAGGGATAGGAGGAGGAGAAGGAGAAGGAGGATGAGAAGGAGGAGGAGGAGGAGGAGGAGGAGGAGGAGGAGGAGGAAGGGGGGAGGGAGGAGGAGGAGAGGAGGAGGAGGAGGAGGAGGAGGAGGAGAAGGAGAAGGCGGAGGGGAAGAAGGAGGAGTGTCGGAGGAGGGCAGCTATACACGCCCGCCTCCCGCTCCCCCCCCGCCCAGGAGGGGGACGCAGTCAGAGGAGGGGGGGAGGGAGGGTGAAGGGCAGCGAATCCGTGCAGGTGTTCGACTGCTGGAGGAAGAGGAGAAGATCTAGTACGTAGCGTTTTGATCGTGCCCCCACGCTTTCTTCTCGGGGCGGCAGCATGCCGCAAAACGGCCCAGCGCAGAACATTCCATGGAATTGCGGTTCTGAGGAAGCCACAGTCCTGGCCGCAGTATCTGTTCGTGGCGGCGGAGGTCTGGTGATATGCATGGAGACTGAGCCCCCAGACTTGCGGTGAAGAATCGGAATCGGTAAAATCGGACTGCGACGACATGAGAAAAATTGCGTGCTCGTGCACCTGTTTCCTCATGACTCTACATGTCGCCACTTCTTGCGTGCAACTTGCCATCGTCACATTGTCTGCCTCTGATGTGTTACGAACTTCGTGTATCATTGTCCTGCTGGTCGCTTTCATGTTCGCGAGCTGTGATGTTTATTCCGAGGCTGAACCTTCTGTTCATGGTTTCGCTGGCCGCATCGACCAGTGACCCAGTGGTAACGGATAACGCATTATCGGTCTGTCGATTCATTTGGAGTGTGGTCGCGACCATTGTTCAGTTAAGACATTTACGTAGTGATGAGGCCCCGAAGCGTATTACGAGCAAACGACGTGCATGTGCGTGTGGGCCTGCACCTGTGTGTGTGCGTCTACGCGTGTGGATTGCACATGTTTGATCATCGCGACTTGGCGTCACATCGCTAACGGAGGAAGCGTTCGCGTGTGTGTCGGTGTGTTGCTTACCTGTCGCCCGCTCTTTTCTGGGGTACCACGGCTTCGGCTGGAGCGGGTTCGACATGTTCGAACGAAATTTGGCTTGTCTGGCCCGCTTACTGCTGACGCGACTATGCTGCACAGCGCTGTAAAGCCTGCGTGCGTGTTACGCGATCGCATTCCCGATCTCGCCTTTCGAACGGAGCTTCGTGCCTTGACTACCTTGCGTTCGTGGTCCATGAGGTTTGCGCCCCTGCGTGGCTTCACACCGCGGCGCAAAAGTGCGTGCGTGCACGTCTGCGTGTGTATGTGCGTGTGTGTCTCTCTTGCCCCAGCCTCCTAATTCACCCCTGTCTGGCCTCACAACAGGCGCCATTGCTTCAGTGACCATCTTCACTCTCGGAGCTGAGTCGGGAGGTCGTTCAACGTATCCGTTCACTTGGATGCCTGCATGTTTCGCCATGCAAACGCCTCCCCTGTTCAAGCAGGCATCTCGCGCGCGATGGGCACCATGTCTGCTTGCCCCGCTGTTCGACGCAGGGTGGGCGGGATGCACTCGGGGAAGGCGTAACGATGACGACGAGGATGACGAGGATGATGATGATGATGATGATGATGATGATGATGATGATGATGATGATGATGATGATGATGATGGTGGTGATGATGATGATGATGACGATGATGATTGTGATGCTGATGCTGCTGGTGCTTATGGTGTTCACGATGCTCATGATGGTGATGATGGCGGTGGTGATGGTGAAGGTACGGATGTGAATGATGACGGTGATGATGATGTTGATCCTGCTGATGATGATGGTGATGATGATGCTCATGCTGTTCATGAATATGACGATGCTGGTGGAGATGACGATGATGCTAGCGATGGATATGACGATGATGACGATGCTGGTAGTGAGGGTGATGACGGTGCTGATGATGATTATGCTGAAAATGATGATGCTGATCATGATGATGATAATGGTTATGGTGGTGATGCTGATGTTGATGATGATGGTGGAGATGATGATGGCGACTTCGCAGGTGATGGTGATGATAAGCATTATGATGATGTTGTTGGTGATGATGATGGTGATGCTGGTTATGATGTTGATGATGGTGATGGTGACCTTGATGATGCTGATGATGTCGGTGATGATAGTGATGAGGCTGGTAATTAGGAGGATGTTGACGAGGTTGAAGATATTGATGATGATGACGATGATGATTAGAATGATGATGGTTATGATGATGATAACGATGATAGTGATAATGAGGTTAGTGATGCGCATGATGGTGATGATGGTGGTGGCGATGATGATGACAGCGATGATGATGATGCTGAGTATGGTGATTATGGTGATGACGATGATGCTGATGATGATTATGATGATGATGATCGTGATCATGATGATGGTGATGAGTATGCTGATGATGGTGGTGGTGATGATGATAATTCTGATATGATGGTGGTGGTGATGATGACGGCTACGACGATGGCAATGATGTTTATAAGTATGATGGCGATGGTGAGGATGATGATGCTGATGATGATGGTGATGACAACCTTGACGATGGTGATGATGATGGTGGTGATGATAATGATGAGGCTTGTGATGAGGAGGATGGTTACGAGGTTGAGGATCTTGATGATGATGATGATGATGATGGTGATGGTGATGCTCATGATAGTGATGATGATGGCGATGATGAAGACGCCACTGATGATCATGTGGACGGCGACGATGATGATGATGATGATGATGATGATGATGACTATAATGGTGATGAGGATGACGCTGGGGGTGATGATGATGACGACGGCAACGGTGACGAGGATGATGATGTTGACGGTGATGGGCATCATGGTGACGGAGGTAGTGATGATGAAGATTGTCATGTCGCGACGCCATGATAATAATGGTGGTGGTGATGACAGGGGTTAAGCTGCCGCTCCCCTTGGAGGTCAGCGAGCAGGCAGATCCTCTGTGCGTCTTACGTTCCTGGGCTCCGGTAATGAGATAGGGGGTACGGGTTCACGGTGGGAGGGGCAAGTGTGAAAGAGGTGCCCCTTTTCGGCATGTATCGTATTCATGACGTGCCTTTCTGTCTGTTTGACGCAGCACCATTGCCCCAGAGCCAGCTCGCCCGAGCCGTGTCAAGCCCAGGATGTCGATGTTGCCTGGGACACATCAATATATTTTCCAACGCTCATGTGAAGTTGGGTGTTTACCACAAAAGGGCGCCCCCGTTCAGTCAGTTCTTTCCACCAGCGCAGACGACCCCTGCCCAGCCGCCGACGCAAATAAAAGTTGTCCCATTTTGGCTTCCCCTGAGGGGTTCGTATCTTAGCTACCTCGATACGCCCGTTTTGATACGCAACACGTGCCGTGTTCAAAACGTCCGTGTCAATACGCTGCGTGTTGGCTTCACGTACTGGCCCACGTTTTGGCGAACGTATCGCGTCGGACCTACGTTTTCAGTCCACCTGTTGAGATCCGTATCAATACGCCACGTGTCGCGTGTTGCGTATCGGGGCAGCTAAGGCTCGCACTTGACTGTGAAGGAAGCCAGTGGGTGCGGGGCCCTTCGTCGGAAGCGGCTCTCGGCGCTGCTCGAGGTCTCTCGGGGCTCCTCGTCGCTGCTGTTCCCCGGCGTGGCTCCGGGTTCTTCGGGGCTCTTGGGCGCTGTCTTTTGCCAGCGCCAATCAGCGCCAAGCAAGGCCTAACAGTGCTAACCAACACCACGCAACGGCCAGCAATGCCAAGCAACGACAAGCAGTGCCACGCAAAGCCAAGCAATAGCAAGCATTGCCGAGCAGTGCCAAACAGTGCCAAGCTTGGCAAAGCAACGACAAGCAACGCAAAACATCGCCAATCGATGCCAAACAATGGCGAACGATGGCAAACAAGGGCAAGCAATGCTAAGCAATGCCAAGAGGCGCCAAGCCATGCCTAGCCATGCCAAGCAATGCCAAGCAATGCCAAGCAGAGCAAAGCAATGCCACGCAGTGCCAAGCCATGCCTAGCAGTGACGCCAAACAATGCCTAGCACTGCCACGCAGTGTCAAGTTGTGCTAGCAAAGCCAAGCATCGCCAATCAACGTCAAAGCATAACAAGCAATGCTAAGGAACACCAAGCAACGCCAAGCAATGCAATTCATTGCAAAACAACACAAAACAATACCAAGTGATGCCAGGCAGCGCCAGGCACAGTTTCTCAGCTGTGCTAAGCAATGCACAGCCAGCACCAATCAATGCCACGCAATTTCAAGCAACGATTCCCAACAATGACAAGCAATACCAAAACGTGCCAAGACATGCATAGTCATGCCAAGCACTGCCAAACAACGTCGATCAATACCCAGCAACGCCAAGTAGTACTAACCAACGGGTCCAAACAATGTCGAGCAACGCCGAGTAATGCCAACCAAGGCGAAGCAATTTGCAATGTCATTCAATGTCAACAAAAGGCACGCAATGCTTTGCGTAGTTGCTCTGCATTGGTTCGCATTGGTCTTAGCTGCTTTGATATGTTCTGGGAGAAAGCACTGCCTAACTGGGGCCGTACCGGGTTCATGTTCCCCGCATGCTATGTGATGGTCTGGCTTTTTCCTCCCAGACGCGTCACACCCGCGCTCTGCTCTCCCTCCGGCTCACTAAAACACGCATCATAATTACACAGTCGCGTATCTGTGCTATGCGCATGTACATGCAAGGTCCTCGCAGGAGCCTCACATGAGCCTCGAAGGAGTCTCACATAAGCCTCACAGGAGCCTCGCTGGGCGCGGCAGGTGTGGCCCGACCTCGCAATCAGAGGGGGTGCGCAGGAGGTGCGGTCCTTACCCGTCGCACGTTCTCAGGGCGTGGCATTCGTGGTATTTCCTTGACAACGGAGGACGTGCGCAGGGCGGGGTTGTTCCCCCATCCATCTCACGCTCGCAGGGCACGTCAGGCGTGTCCTGTTCTGGACGTCAGAAAAGGGTGCGCGGGCGGTGGTTCCCTTATCCGTCTCACCATCGCATGCCGGTGCAGGCACGGCGCTTCTTCGAAAAAGCAGATGGGATGCGTAAGGGCTGCTTCACCTATCCGTCCCACGCGCACAGCACGCGCACGGTGACACAGCCCGAATGCCACCATCACGCCCCTTGCGTCACGCACGTGTCACGTTTCGTAGCCATCAGGGAGCTCCACCCGCTCTCCGCGACACAGCCCAGGTGCCGCCACTGCGCCGGTCTCGCACGCCCCTTGCACGTGTTGTAGCGCTCGGGGAGCTCCACCGACGGCCCCAGCACCACACTTTGCAGGCCGCCGCCCCGCGCATGTCGTAGCAGCTCGTGCCCCTCAGGGAGCCGCCGCACCTGCGAGGCCCTGGCGCCACAGTCCGCATGCCGCCGCCCCGGTCATTTCGCATACCTCGTGCACTGTCTATCGCACTCCTCAGGACGCTCCACCAGTGTCCCCCGCAACACAGTCCGCATGCCGCCGCCCCGCGCATGTCGGCACACCTCGTGCCCCTCCAGGGGCTGCACCTGCGGCCCCAGCGACGCAGTCCGCATACCGCCACTCCGACCAATCCGGCACGCCCCCCGCACACCCTCTGGCCCCAGCGGCAGCCCGCGGGCCGCCTCTCCCCGCCCATGTCGACACCCCTCACACGCTTCGTGCCGCGCACGGAGCTCCGCGTCCTGCTCCAGCAACGCCGACCGCATGCCGCCTTTCTACCCTTAGGTCGGACATGTCCCCCCCCTAGGCGGATTTTGTACGAAATCCCCCCCCCCCAAAAAAGATATTCGGAAACGGTCAAAACTAGTTTAAAAATTGTCCCCTGACCATTTTTGCATTTAAACTATTTTTGAATACTCCTCCTGTAGAGGGACGTGCCCGACTCAATTCTACCCGTTTCGGTACCCTCCTCGCGCGGATCGCGCCACGCATGGGCTTCAGCGCGCTTCCTTGCGCGCTTGGTCCGCAGGCCCCTTGTGTCCGCTCCGCGGAGAGCAGCAGCATACGCAGAAAGGGCACGCCCTGTGCTACACTTGAGTCGTGCCTGTCCCTCTAGAGGAGGAAGATTCAAAAATAATCAACAACTAATATGGGGACGATTTGTTTAGTATATCTTTTGGGAAGGTTTGAATATGTTTGAGTATGTTTTATTTTTCGTCCAAAATCCGCCTGTAGGGGGACATGCTCGACCTAATGCTACACGCAGCTTCCCAGTGCGGGCCCTTCGTCATGCTGATTTTGTTCCGTGCGTGCTTGGGCGACACCTTAGGGGTCTCTGAGGGCTCGGCCGGGCTTAGTCGCGCGCGGTTGCTGCGTTTCGACCTTCTGCGCTCTGTCGCTGCGCGCAGGGCCGCGGCGCCAGAGCTTGTTTAGGCGATCTTGGAGATGGATGAAACGTCCACTGCCTCTGTACAGCTCGGAAGTGGCTCGCTGTTTCTTGGATCCTTTCATGGCTGTTCCTCTATTGCGCCTCGTACACTGAAAGCGCTTTGGGGGCTAAAAGGTGGTCTCGTTCCATCCTTGACTGTGCCCGTAG